TTATGATATTTATTGCTATATTTTTCAAATGAAGGGGGAACGGGAGTCCCCGATCCCCAGGCCAATCCCGCATCCCGAAAATACCCGTTCCACTCTTCTTCAAATGTCTGGGAGAAAGAATTATGGGGATCGATCATGGACTGATGGAGGAAGAACAGTATAACTTTCCTGCTCTCTCTCTCTCTTTCCCAATTCTCAACTACGAACTTGCGTTGAGTTTTCCCTCTTTGCTTTATAACCTGCCGGCCGTTTCTCATCGGACTTCGGGTAAACGGTAACAAAACCGATATACATTATCATAGGACTATGCATATGTGCATGTGCGTGCGTGCAGGCGGGAGTGCAAGCGAGAGTGTGTGTGCGCGCCTACGTCTGTCTGTGTGACTATTCCCTACCCTGAGACATAAGCTGGCTCACCACAACACGAAGAAGACACGGAAAAAGAGAGGTAATAGAGGATAAGAACGTACAGTTGAGCAGCTGCGTGCGCGCGCACACATACACGCGCGCGCGCACGCACGCGGCACGCACGCATGCACACACACACCCGCGCGTATTGACATATATATGTACTTGTAATATATGTATATATATGTATATGTATGTATATGTATATATATGTATGTATATGTATGCATGTATGTATATATATATATGTATATGTATAGGTATTATTAGCTCTTGATATGTATATATATGTATGTATATGTATATATGTACTTGTAATATGTACTTGTAATATATGTACTTGTTGCCCATATGCACGAATCTATAACACGTATATGAGCTGCAGGCGCGCAAACACAAACACGCATATATGCACACACGCGCATGTGCGTATGTGCGTGTACGTGTGCGTGTGTGAGTGTGTGCGTATACGTGTGCGTGTGTGCGTATAAATGTGCGTGTACGTGTGCGTGTGTGCGTGTGTGCGTGTGTGTGCGTGTGCGTCTGTGTGATCCTTATACGTTGGAGTACAGTACATTTATTGAAATAAAAATGTATAATTAATAATTATGGACAAATAATATTAAGTAACCGAATAATAAGGAAAAGAGAGTTGAACCTGACTTTATATTGAAAACTATTAGAATAACGTAATATATATTATAAGATTGAGCTTAGTATCATTCTAAACATTAAAACCTCAATTCGAATGATAAAAATCTCAATACGTAAGAATAAACGATGGGAATACCGAAATAATAAAAAAATGTAAAAAAATTGTAGAAAGGTTCATCGTCTCTGAGATTCGAACCAGCCATCCGATCGAATGTCTCGCGATCGCATGAGATCTCGCGATAGCTGTAGCAGAAATGGCGTCATTCAGAACTCTGAATGCGGTAAGTTTCGCACCGGTTTGTATGTTTCTAAGCTTGTATGAATGTAATAGCCCATATTCATTCTTTATCGGTAAGTTAAACTCTCCTTTTATGCTTACAAGTATTGCCGTAAACGTTAAATGTTAGCGATTCTCTAGAAATGCAACTAATACAGAGGTCACCTTCGAACTGTACAGTGTTACTGATGTGCAGGCCTACTGAGATTACTGTCTGAGTAGGCCTGCCAACTAGCTAACTAAGTACTATTCGTTAAACCGCTACTGCTCTCTCGCTATAACATGATCACGCCCTCTAATAAGTACTGCTAAAATTTAATATGTTTGGCACTAGGTAAATATGTAAAACCTATCATTTTGAAGCATCATCTATTTTCAATATGCGTCTATTCACTATTGCCTGACCAAACTTAGACTTACTTCAATACTTGGGTAGTAATTAATATTATTATTATTATTAACGACGTGGATATTCGTCCAAGCATCGGACACCTGTTCGTATGCGCTATTCGTCCGAGCAGTTGTTGCGCATGCGCTGTTCATGTTGCATGCCGCAGGCGCACGGCACGAGTGCCGGAGGTAGGAAGTGTGAAGGGTGGGCTAAATTTTGAAATCTATATGCTCTAAAATGCTAAATTGCTATAAGCGTTTTACTACGGCAGCCCTACGACTGTGACGCCCTGCATACATGCGTATACATGTGGTTATACACCATAGATAGTGTTTGGTACTATGACTCAAGTATATAAGAGATCCGAGTCGGTTTATAGTTAGTGTTAAGGTTAGGGTTGGCGGTAGGGTTAGGTTTAGAGTTAGAGAGTAGGCGACTCCCTAGAC